TTATCGAAATTCGCGTTATCAGGATAATTTTATTCCATCTGGAGAGCTACGAAATTACGATTTGTCCCGTCAGGGGCGTGAAAAAATGGAATTAATACATTTTAATTCCAGAAATAATGCACCCACTATTCCTAGGAAACTTTTTCAAGCGTTATGCATAATATTAACGCGATGCATATTTCTTTCGCCGCTTTTTTATTTTTATTTATCGACCGAGTGACCAGCGGTGAATTAACATTTATCAAGCTCTTCACGTTGACAGAATCGACAAAGAAAATAATTGGAAATTTATTTTCCAGCGCGCGCATATTTATTGAATATTCGAAATAATTTGTTTACTGAGTGATAAAGCAATACGTCCGCGTTATGATTTATGGATGAACATTATTCATTTTCATTATCTGTAATGTGTTTCCACGCGTATGCCTTTATATTCTATCGTTAAACATAATTCGTCCCCATCGGTCGAAAACTTTGTCTCTGTACTTTTTTTTTTCTTTTTTTTTTTTTATTTCTTCTCTCCGCCATATTCAAAGATCTCCCGTGCCGGATTTTTCATCTGCCGTTGCGACGCGGTCTGCGAATAATTATAAACACGCGGACGCGGGAGCAAACGTATAATCAGGCAGACTCGCGAGCTCAACAACGTTTCGCTTTTTTTAAAAACGGAATTAAAAATGCAACACGCAAGCAACGTATCACGCTTCAATTAAGGTGGACGGATCCGAAACTCATCACTGCCTTGAAAAGCACCGGGCTGTTTCAAAATTACAAATATTCCCGCGAGAGTTTCGCGTTCCCGCATACCTTTAGTAAAGTTCCCGACCATCTGTCTCGTGCGTGGTCGATTTAAAAAAAAAAATTGTTGCCCTTGGTATCGTATTTGAACGTTTACGAAAGAAAATAATTCCCCACTCGGCAACAGCTAAATCGCGAATTTACGACGCTTCATTTGAATTTTTCGCCTCCTCGTTCGATGTAGTTTATTCGCATAATAATTAGGTTCGTTGCGAACATAATCGATCGTCGACTTATCAACCTCTTTAATCGTGACGAAAGCTTTCATGCACATTGTAACAAGCCTATCTTTCATATCGGCTTCAATCTTTGGCAAGTTTTTCAGTTAATCATGTTTTAGATAAGACCTATCTATTGTGAAAAAATTCCGACAGTATTTATAGATAAGAGTTCTCTTAGTAACTCTCTAATGTTAATAGATAGTAAATAGTTACGTATACGTTTAATGTATAATTACACGTGCTTTTACATTTTGATCGCGATATGTATCGATAATCGATACTCATGATACTCTTTCTGTCTCGTCGGATTATTGGCCCATAAATTATATCTCGAGTCGTCAAGATAATCGTGTCCCTAAAGTACACGACTTTGAAAATTTACTGTAAAAAAATTGTGCCATTCTTTTTTTCATGTATGTTACTCACTTTAGCCGCAGGACGATTTGACATTCTCTTTTACCGGCGATCCGTTTGTGAATCGTTGAACGCTGGGGCGCACCACGACGAAAGGAATACCTGAAATGAAAAAACGCTCATTAAGCAATTACGGTGGGAAACTTCCCTTTGAAACGTTCTCTCCGTGATTAACAAAATCAGGTATAAATCTCGGGACAGGAAGTTCGAAACTCGTTCGAGACGCTGACAGCGCGCGGCGAACGATCGTAATAACGAAGAATAAATTTCCCCGTCGTCCGAACTTTCTTCTCGTCCGAACGAGTAATTAAGTTTTCGAGCAGCCGGCCCGGCGACCACTGTCACCGCCAACAGTTCCAAAAACCAATTTTCATTTCGTCATCGGGGGAAATTTTTCGTGTATGCAGAAGAACGAGTGAAGGAAAGGAGAAAGAAGAGAAAAGAGAGAGAGAGAGAGAGAATAGAGGAACAAACTAGTTTCCTCGAGAGACAGCCAAAAAGAAAGAAAAGAAAAGAAGAGTAAAAGGAGAAAGGAGAAAGACGTTTTTCGTGGCAGTGTTTACGTGTATCGTGGGTGATATTCTTTAAAACTAGGCCGACACGGGTCAGCCGTTGCTTTGTTCGTCTTGTTTTCGATCGTACGTCGAGCAGTCTCGTAAAATCGGGTTTCGGAAAAGGTCAAACGCAACCCGCGTTCCAGGCATTAATATTCGATAGGAATCGAATCTGCAGACCGAGCCAAACTGCCGCACCGAGCTTGTAAATTTACATTGGAAATCGGCTGGAACGCCTGAACAGGAAAAGAAGTTTTCCTTGGATACAAACCGACGTGGCGAAGCGACGCGTTTCGGGCGACATTATCAGATACGAGTTTTGCTTTTCCCGCAGCAAATTACACGATCGAACGACCGTCAGATGGTCAATCGGTCAAGCTTCTCTCCTACCTGTTTTCACTATCAACGCTCTTTCCCACGGGTATCGTCCTACCTGCTTGTTCTCTATACCGAACCGATCAATTAGAATACGTTAACTTAACCAGAACGATCGAATAAAATCTTTTATCTCGCGAACGTTATTACCTGCGATTTCGCGTTATCGAAACCGCCCAGGGAAACGCGATTTTACTGCGACGGAGAGAATACGGCGGCGTTACATTAATATTCTATATGGATCGGGCTCGTGAAATAGCTGAGAGACCAGCGCGATGAAGCTCGTGAATTTACATCGAAGAACGGTACGATATAAAGAAAAAGCAAGGCTGGAAAGCCAGGTCGGAATATATCAAGTGACAGGAGGATATAACGTGTTCAAAACACGAAGTTAATGTTCCCGGGATATTAGCAGAAGTGAAACGGGAAATTTGATCTATGAACTTGGAGCGAATTGAATTGATCGAACGGTTGGGCTGAAAATAGACATAATATATACATATTAGAGAGGAACACGTTTCATGCGTTCTGCCCTGGCGGGTTGCACGACGCGGTGATTAATTGAAACTAAAAATGCGAAATGAAACTGCGATAATGTGGGAGTAAGACGTTTCGAAATCTCAAGATAAAGGCGGTAGCACGCGTGGCAGGCATGAAAATCGCGTGGAAAAACGGATACGATTTATCAGCCAGGAAATCTTTGCTTTCGCGAGCGCGTTATTCTTGTTATTTTCTTTCTTAAATTTTCTGTATAAAATCCATGTAGATCGGCGTTTCCGGTGCACGAAACCGCGTTTGCTACAGCTACACGCATTTCACGTTGCAAAATCTAATTTCATCCCACGCAACAAAAATCGCTCGGCGACGCTAACTTTGAAATTGCTAAGGCAGAAAATCGTTTCATACCTCGATGCTTCACGAATCTTACGCAACTATTTCTCCATTGGACATTAACATTTCCCGAATGTCGTCTGCATTTTCGCGTATTCTTTCCTTCAATGCTCCAGAGAGCTCTCTGTGATTATAATACTCTGCATTTTTTGTCTTTGTTTTTCTTTTTTTTTTTTCTTTTCTTTTCTTTTCGTTATCACGGCGGCTAGATTTCAAAAAACGAAACTGATTCCACGGATGTTTCTTCGCGTCCCAATTAGCCAGGTACGTGGCTTCAACGTGCATTTGACTGCGTGCGATTAAGTAATTGCCGGCGATAAGAAATTAGCATGGAACGGGCATTACGTTGCCCGATCCAGCCGGTAAAGTTAATCTTTAATTTATGCTAACCGTTATTGCCTGGTGGACTAACCTTTAATATTGCTCACGCAAAACTGTTCACGAAATTGTTTTCAGAATGAAAGGATAATGCAACTACTGGCCGGAAGATAACGCAACCGTATGTGTGACGGTTAAAAATATTTAACGAAAAAACCTACACACAACTGATGCAGCCGATATTTATATTGAAGAGGAAAATGTAGTAGTATTGGTAAATAAGAACCTTGACGAACGAATACATAACGTTCATTAATATGTCATGTATTTTTCCTTGGTTTTCCACTTATAAATAATGCAGTATTTGTGCAATACACGTAGATAAATTCCAATGGTTTTATCATTCATTTGGAGATAACTTAACTTACGTATTAGCCCAGATTAACAAAATTGAAAGCATTCACTGAAATAGATTATTATTAGTAGACCCTAATTAGTGCTTTTATTTCTCATAGACTTATGTAAATCATACTTGTCCTTTCGACATTTTCCTTCTGTTCTATTCATTTCGTTCTCTATCAACGCTAATAGCACTTTTCGCAATGTCTATGAAATTTCAGGGACGTCTCTGACCCGCTGAAGTATATGTTTATCAAACAGCAAATAACTGAAATACTCGTGGCAGATAACGAATGCTATGTAAGAAAAAAACCGTGATTCTAATGATTTACATAAGTCTGTGAATCGAATGGAATGTTTCCTTCTTCTTTCTTTTTTTTTTTTATCACGACATACCAAACGTACATATGTACATCGCGATCGTACCGTACATCGAAAGTTCAAGATAAGAAGAGGGACAAGAAATAGAAGCTGAGTTTTCCGACAGATTTTCCGGGGAACGTGGCGATACTTAAATTTTGAAAAGTCGTCCGAGCAACAAGATGTTCTCGTATATACTCCAGATTGTAGACGATAAGTAAACGTTGATTCGCTTATCCGAAATCGATCGGACGACGCTCGAAGGAGCTCCCGTGGACCATTTCGCCGAAGAAAAACGTTTACAAAAAGTTTCAAACGCTTTGGAAATTTCCAGGATGCCCCGACAGGCACTCCCTTGAATCTTGAAGTCTGAGGAAAGGAGAACGGGGGAAAGGAATATTTCCTGGGAAATTCCGTGCGGACGACTCGGAGGAATAATTTCGTGGTATATCGGTGAACGTCCGGCCGGGAACAATCTTGTTTGTCCATATCGAAGACGAATTGAAATTGATAGAAAGGAAAGGAACGAAGGGGGCGGGGGGGCTATCTTCAAGGATTAGGTCCGTTCGGCTCGTATAGCTATAACGCAAAGGAAAATATTGGCGGCGAGGTAGCCTGTATACGTCAACAAAAGCGGCAGTAGACTGCCGATCGACTTTCAGAGCTGTTTCCGTGTAAGCTTCGCGAAGGCCCCTTTGGGACACGGAGTGCACTCGAACGTCGATCTCTCTTTCGATTTATTCTATCTCGAAATGTGTATAGTATAGTATACATACGCCCACGTTCGCCTAGCTTCTGCCTCTGCTTGCGAGTACCGTTCACTCTCTCGCGAACTGCTTCTCGGAAAAAGAATTTCCCGAATTTCGCCGAACACCAAGTATTAACGTAACGTTATTGCGGGAAATCGGTTTCCATTCGATTTTTCGCTTAGTCTTGCTGACAATAAAATCCGCCGACTTTGCTCTGAGAACACTGGCTTCATTTAACAGCTACAATTTCGTAAACAATAATCTTTGCTCCAGGTTCAAACTTTATAATTGCTTTCATTATATATGCGCTTACGGATTGTGATTCACTTCCGTAGGTAACAGATATTTCTTCGAATTTGCGAAATAATGAGGCGTTAAAAATAGTTGATTGAAGTGCGCAGAGAAAAACCAAAGAATTGGCGAAAGAAGAAATCGAAGAGAGTGGAGGAAAATTTGAACGAGAATGGCTCTTAACGATAGAACATACGCTTTTTTGTGGAACAATTAATTGTACTAACTAATTGTATTTATATTTACTATCTAGAAAGAAAGGAAAGCAATATGGCTGGCTATAATATTAGACAATTTTATAGCCGGGAAGGCGAATAACGAAAAAAATAAATGGTCCATTATCTTCGAATAGCTCCATAATTCGTGCAGAAAAAAGATGATGCCAGTCTACCGAGAACATTACGAAAACGAACAGCGCGGGAAAAAAGCGTAATACGATGAAGTGAAAAAAACCATGGCATAATGAAACATTGCGTATCAAAACGATAACTATCACGTTGTGGAACTCGTTAATGACGTCGCGTTGCCCGCAATTTACATGCAAATATCTCGATACGAGGCTGAGAAGCCTCTTTTACTCATTTACTTGAATAATTTCGCGAAAAATTTGCATCAGACTACTTTCGAAACTTTCGAAAGATATTGTCAGATTCGAATAAGTTCCACAATTTTCGTTTCAAACAAAAAAAAAGAGAAAAGAAAAAATATTTGTTTCCACACATATATACACACACGCGTATTCTAATGGAAATTTTACGTCTACGAGAGATTTCCGTTACCGTCGAGGCCATGTTTCATCAAGTCTCTATTTCAAACTCATCTTTCACGCCATGTTTAGTCGCATGACACAAACAGAGAACGTATGCTACCCAGAAATTTCTATCTATGTTTGCACGGAACGATTCGAGAGTGTGACAGGCTCGATCGATTTTTCACTTGACTCGCCGTGAAATATTTGGCGATGTCAAGTTTTGCTAACCAAACGACGTGCTCGTCCAAACTTGGACGAAGTGTTAAAGATTCCCAGAACGGGAAGTCTTATCGCCTTTGACGCCTCGTGGCGTGTTCCGTCGAGGTCGTCGTGCTTTGAGGTTAAGTTCGATACTCTCTGTGTCTTTCCACAAGAGCTTTTGTTCTCGTGTCAGTATGAAACGGCCGCATTAACATGGTTGTTTATTTTTCTAAATTGTCAAGTTAATGGTCGAAAATATGCGGAACATTAGCACGTTCTGGCTGTCGTGAGTGACGACTAGAGGATTGGCATGGAGTTTTCGATTGTATCAATGGCATGCACCCGACAAAGTGCCCTGCACTTTCTATGACTTCTTTGCTTTTTCCGCGTATTAAGCGGTCAAAGCCTTCAGAAGTTAAATGACTCTTTTCTCGACTGGAGATGTGCAGTAAAATCTAGTCAGTCTAGTTAGAGTAATGGTTAAAGTTGATGAATTAGAACACTCAATATTTACTAATCAAATTGTTGCTTCACTGCCTATATAATTGTATTGCAATCAGTACAGGTATAGTTAAATACAACGTTATGCGAAATGTAAGACTTGGAAATAGTTGAAATTTAAAGTTGTGTTTGATCTATTTCAGAAATCATAAAAAATGGCCTTTATATGGTATATTGTGGTTGTCACGATCATAGGTATGTTGGAACAACTTATAAATTTAGTCAACTTTATGAAATTCTTGTAAATAACAGTTAATATTTCAGTTGCAGATAAAGCATGGGCAGATTTGAAAGTCTCGACTCAAGATTTAAAAGTTCATGTAAATAATATTGAATTATTTGAGGTATATTTGACGTAAGTATCTCTATATAAAACAGACAAAATAATAATATAAGTATAAGCAAAGTAAAAGTATAAAACAATTTAAAAGAAATAAGTATAACACATTGAACACAAAACATAAATTATAATTTATAATCTGTGTACTAATTATATTGCTATAATTTCTAAATATTAAGTGTGATATTTTATTTCAATTTGAAAATATTTTCCTTCAAAATATTATTCGAATTGAATGTTGTGTTTGAGGAAAATTTCATAGATAGAGTCAAAGCATTGATAACATTGCACAATGATAGTATGGAAAAATTGTAGTTCTTAAAGCATTATCTTATAGCTACAGTTCATATAAGAGAGATAAATCTTTCCTATGTTTCTAAACATTTTAGACCCATAAATTGACTAAATTTTTATAATTAAAGAATATATCAAGTTTACTTATTTAATTATTTCATGCAGGAAAAACTCGGAAAACTCAAATATATCAGCAACAGTAACAATAGAAGTGCAACACCCAGATTTAATTTCTGTCACTCCATCCACTTTCATTATTACTGGAAGTGATATAAAGAATATATCTGTAAAAGGTCTTAGTGCAGGACATTCGATTGTTAATCTTAATGTCACACCCAGCTATATTACGAAGTAAGTATATTTATTTTATAAATCAAAATTTAAGTTCCTTAATTTGCAAATAAAGATTATAGTGTTCACTAATCTACAAATTCTTGTGAAAAAAATAAAACCATTGTTGATTTTTGTATAATCAGATATAATATCAATATTTACTTCTATGATTAAGTTGCAAAAGATTCTGATCGACATTACATTCACTAGTATTTAGTGGTTTATACAGATAACCTCCTGACCTATACTTGTCATCGGATCGTCTACAGAAAGTTCAGTCAGTCTGCACTCATCTGTTCTGATTAGAACATGATAGTTACTTACAACAAATATATCAGTACATTTACTTTAAAATTTTTTAATAAAACTAAATTTAACATAATCATCTGTATTAGTCTGTTATTAATCTCTGATATTTATATTGTAAAATTTGTGCTAAGCTAATTGAAATTGGGAATTAATGTTAAAAAATAATGACACTTTTTAAAGTGATTTTAATACCTCAGGATCAATTAAACAAAATCGATTTAAAGTAAGACAAAGATTATAAAATTGTTAAATGCTGTGTTACAAAATCTTGTGTTAAATTTATTACAGTACTTAATATTTTATATTTTTACAGTTTTTCACAAGCGTTCGTCAGAGTGACAGTTGAAAAATCAGATGTACTTTATCACATAAGTACTGTAGTAGGTTGGATATACTTTCTAGCATGGAGTGTAAGCTTCTATCCACAAATATACAGTAATTACAAACGTAAAAGTGTTGTGGGATTAAATTTTGATTATTTATCATTAAACGTGGTTGGTTTTATTATGTATGCACTTTTCAACTGTGGCCTATATTGGATACCAGAAGTTGAGGTAAATTAAAGTGCGCAATCGATATAATTTTTTTAAAATTATAGCTTTATTTAACTTTGCACTTTTTAGCTCGAGTATTTCAGGAGATATCCAAAAGGTTTAAATCCTGTACAAGTGAATGATATTTTTTTCGCTTTGCACGCAACATTTGCAACTGTGATAACTATTATTCAATGTTTTGTGTATGAGGTAATTAATTAAAATTTATCATAGGTAAATATATTGTAGTTTTGTAAAATTTTTGTAAATTTTAATAAATGTATTATCTTTTTAGAGAGGAAATCAAAGGGTATCCATCACAGCACGTATTATTCACGGGATATTTGCATTATTTATTTTTATTTCTATGATATTAGCTATAGTAGCAGTAATAATGTGGCTTGATTTTCTATATTATTGTAGTTATGTTAAATTGAGCATAACGTTAATCAAATACGTTCCACAAGCATTTTATAACTATAAAAGAAAATCCACTGTTGGTTGGAGTATTGGCAATATATTTTTAGATTTTACAGGTGGTATGTTGTCAATGCTACAGATGATACTTAATGCATACAATTATGGTAACGTATAACGTATAAAATACAAAATTAGTATTGCATTATTGAAAAGTAACTGATGATAATTCCTTTTTTTAGATGATTGGGAAAGTATTTTTGGAGATCCCACAAAATTCGGTTTGGGATTTTTTTCAGTTGCATTTGATATATTTTTCATTATACAACATTATGTTTTATACAGGTATGTATATTTTTATTTCAACATCATAAATGTTGACTATTTCTTAACTAACAACTTTCTAGAATATGTAATGCTTATGTTTCTCAAAAAATTATTAACATAAGAATACAAAACACTAAAAAATGCATGTTGATTGTACTAATGCACATTTGAAATGTTAATAGAAATTTTATTTATTAATTTCCATTGAAAGTAATAGCGTTTATTGCATGTGCCAAAAAATATATAACTTGCATGTTTCATAAATCTTACTTAGTTAGTTAATCTTTTACGTTTAATTATCTCATAACAAAAATTGAAATTGACTACATTTTAAAACTCATAAATGTAATTAATAGGACTCATACTCGTTAACGTAGATAGATGTAGAATATCTACATAAAATTTGATAAATAACTTATATTGCTTATTATCCGCTTAATTATCAGTTCAATTCTCATAAGTATGTATGTGCTTTCGCTAGTATGAATTGTAAATATGAGGCAGCAAAAACAATTTGTTTACAGATTTATCCATGAAAAGATGATTGACCTCAAAAACAGAATATAAGCACCTATCATCATCAATTTTGTTTTAAAATCATCTCAAAACCGTGTACTTATTTTTGCCTCCAAATTTGCACTAAATAGAGAATCATTAATTTCACAAAATAAATAACCAGGATATAAAAAGTAATACCAAATACAGTATGAACAAAAGATTTTATGTGAAGATTCAGTGGAATATTTGAAGGATATAATTTGTTATCGATATTTTATTATTGTTAATGCAATAGATTATACAAAATTTCCATTCCATTGAAAAATATGGAGTATATCTGTTGTAAATGAGACCATTTTTACTAATTTTATGAATCTCGATTGGTTGTTAATGTATAAATAAAAGAGAAGAAACCTTGGTTATAATAATTGTAACCATGTGCTAATATGCTAAACGATATAGTAAATATATCAAATGAAATTGATTACAAAAATAAAAATTATTTCATTAATTTTCTATCTTTTGTTATGAATAATTATAAGTAATTGTTTCAATTTTTTTTAAGTTATTGATATTGTAATTGTTCATGATTTTACATTTGTGTTTATCTTCAAATTATAATAAAAATTGTCTGCATGCCATTGTGCACTTCAGTCTAATTATAAATATCAGTATTTTTAAATTTCAATAGATTTCAAAATTAAGCATTTTATATTTAATTTGTATTATGATGTTGCGACTTTTAAGCATGGTATTGAAGCTATCTTTATATCAGAAATAGATTACAATAAAATAATTGTTATATTATCTAATTATTAAAACTTAGAAAAGTTTTAATAATTTTTGGTGTCATTCCACTGCATTACATCATGTCAAACACAAATGGTTAGTGTCTTTGTAATTAATTGTTGTAAAAATCCTACATTGAGTTTTACTATGTTCTTACAAAATGAAACAATAAAATCCCACTTAAATATTAAAATTTTTAATATTGAAGTTTGAATAAAGAAATGTGTGTTCATTTTGAATGTGGTTATTGCATGCGTGTGTTCGCGCGCGCGCGTGCCCTAACGTATATGTGTGTTGTGTTGTATCTTTACTAACAGCACTAATTGAACTAACATTTTGCAATGAGTTATATATTATTGAAGAAAAATTGTACCATAAAAGTAGAATCACTCACTACATACAAATGCATTCTTTTTATTTATCCTTTTGGCATAAAGAAAAACTATATACATATAGATTACTCTCTACAGGGATCGCAAAGAATATATTGAAATACCTGGTAACAATTACGGAGAATCGCAAGAAAATGCATCGACTATTGCTTGACTTTATGTTATTACTATCAATCAGTTGCCTGTTTATCTCTATTATAATAAAAAATAATCTATCTATGATTCAAAACGCAAAGTGGCGCCAACATGGCTACCACACTCGATATTATACATTATTTCAAATTTTATTCATACCAACTAATATACGATGTGTCCATCCATGAGAACTGCGAAGCCATGTAACCACACGACATGTTATAATACATTTACGTAAATTCATTCGCGAAACGAAATAATCCACTTACTTTTACGTACGAATACGTATCTAACGCGCACCGATTATGAAGATGTAACGGAAACTGTTAAAACTTTAGTTCGAAAAAGTATCGATATTTCGATTCGATTCAATACTACGCAGCCATCTAGTGGCCGGACTATACACTATTCATATAGCAGAACGTGTTACAGTTAAACTTAGTAGTATTGTTTACTTAAAAAAGAGGTAAGTTTAATTTCACGTTTAATTTGATTAATTTAGTTAGATTAGTTTTTGAAAACTATAAAATATTATCATTAGATAATAATTGGAGAATCTAATGATTGAAAATAGATTTAAATTTGAATATAACCTCTTTGTATGAATGTATTTACTTTTCTATCATTACTATGTTAATCACTAGTGACAGAATAAAGTTAATGTGTATTATTAATTTTTTTTCAATATGTATTCATATTTCAGAATGAATATATCCCCTGTTTTGCGACCAACGCAGTCTACGCTGTCCTTATGTAGAAAACTAAATTGTTGGACAGCAGCAATAACAAAGACGCATAGAAAATTATGTTTAAATACCTTTCCTGTGCGTCTCGTTTTACCAGATGGGAGTAGTATTAATATCAACTACCACGAACCAAGAAGGATAATTACTCTTCCCCTTAATATAGATGAACTTCCTGAGGAAGAGAAACAACTTAGATTGGGGAAACGTAAAATGATAACTAAAGCAAAAGTAACGGAAGAATACCAAGATGACTTTGATGAAACTCAGTTTTTTAAGTAACTTATTTAATTGTATTATTTTGTAAATATTACATATTACATGGACTTCACGTTATACCTCTACATACAAAACATCTTTTTCTAGTTATAAATAGATCTATCATATACTATAGATATATATCATGTACATATTAAATATAATATAATAAAATATATTTAGAAAAAAATTTATACATTTTTATTTCTCTTTTTCATGCTAATATATCTAAATCATTAAACCATTGACTAACTAAAATAGACCAGATATCCTTTTTCATATTCCACGTTTTGGGTATTAACTGATGCTTGTACCACAGATGAGGTATGTACCTATTCTTAATCATTAAAAATAGCAGAAATAATATCCAAATAAAATATTGAAATTCTGTTTGGTAATAATGATATCCATTACAATTTTTTGAAAAATTGATTTTAATACATATGAAATACATAAGTGTTATCAATCATGAACATTGTATATACAAACGTGGATAATTATCGACGGAAAAGTGAAAGTAAACGATTACAGATTTCTTTGCATCCAATAAGTGTCCCGTGTAAACGCACGTTTTCTCCGCATATATTATACGATAGAAGAGATTGAATGTATCAATAAAAAAAAAAGTCGCTGTAGTACTGTGTATGAGAAGAAAACTTCGAGTGGAATCGCACAAGATGATTGCATTGATTATTCATTTAGATTTTTTTCTTTGCTTTGGCAAAACGTAAAGCACGAAGATCTTCTTGATGAACTTTCTCTGATTGCGTATGCCTGTTTCCACTGATTTTTGAGTTAATCATGAATTACTGCTGAAAAGTATCGTGAACGAGTTTTTAATAAGGCAAGAGAAAAAGAGAGAAGAAAGTAATGAGCCGTTTAAAGATATCGATTTTTATTGTTTAGAAGATAAACAGAAAAAGCCAAGATTATTCAGTTTCTATCCTGCTTTCTTAAAGATCACACCAGTTAATTATCAATAAAACGATAATATTTTAATAAGTGGTAAATAAAGTCGCTCTAGTACTGTAAAATAGTTTGGTAGATATTGAAGAAAAATATCTCTTGTGTAAAAAATATAAATTGTTTAAAACTACGTGGACATGTAACGGAAATGACAAGAGGAAAGGACAACTTTGCGTCAATTGCATTAATCGATCTGAGTTAGCGATTGTTCGCGAAAGCGAGCCACGATCCTTTCTATCGTGAGAAGGGGTAACCAGGAGTCCATTTTCAGTTTCGATACGATGATATAATATTTAGTGATGTGTTGTTCGTATGTGACTGTGCGGATGCTTTCGATAGTAGTGAAACTCCTTTATTGCGACAGCCGAAGAAAATTTTGCGGCCTTTGTTAGGCAACGGCGCATAGCATACACCCCGACCATAAGGTGCCAGGACGCATTACGAATTAAATAATAATGCTTCGTTACACATCTAATGGTTTTACGCGGTAGAGAATAATATTGTCGTTTTCTAGAATATTGCAAGATTATATTAAATCGACACACCTATATTATATATCGTTTTTCTCAAAATTTCTAAGATGTCGAATTTAAATGAAAAGTTTGTAATGTGATATTCCTTTTGGATATGGTTTTTGTTATAAGTACTGTAATAAAATATAAGTGCTATATTAAGGATTAATAGGCGTATAAAAGAGAGTCTAGACGATGAGTTTCACTTAAATATCCCACAGGAAACGATAATAAAGCCCTTCGAGTGCTCAGTGAACCAAAGAACGACGGAAAGGCAAAGTTATCGTCGGCAACATCTTGAAGAGATCGCGATGGAGGGAATGATCGTTGTCAGGAGACACGGCAAATAAACACGGTTCGCTTATGGCAAGTAAAGAGACGTGGTCATACTATGGTGGGAGTCAGTTCTGTTATAGTAGGCCACGAGGTAGCAGCTCCGGTGTTCCTGCAGGTGTAGCACGATCGCCACAAACTCTCTCTTAGTTTCTGCTGGCGCGCCAGGCTTCTCGTTTTACCGGAGTGCGCCGCTCCGTAGAAACCAAGCTACGCTACGAGATCGCCTCGAAAGCGATCCGAACAATGAAAACGCGAAATTTGTGCAATATCGCGTGATAAATCAGTGATCGAACGACCGAGTCGTTTGAAATCCGGCGAATCGTTGCGCTCCTCGCCAAGAGATTACAATTTCGATTGCAATTTGATCGTCGACGATCAAACACTGACATGAAACGACGTCGTCTTTATTGGTTACACACGGATCGATAATGCGATTGCATTGCAAAAATTCCCGGATCATAAGCACATCGGATCGATACACCACAAACTTTCCGTCAATTAAGTGAAGCATTGTGCAAGTATAAACCTTACGATTGCTGATTGCTTGACCGTTTAAAGTGCGCCGAGTCTTTAGAAGGAGAAAGCAGGAGAAGTTGAAGAGTTCAGCCAGCTGAAAAAAAGCGCCTTTCCTTGACAATCACGATTTGTCGGATTCGATCTCGTTTCCAACTCTTTTTTTTTTTTTTTTCTTTCCAGAAACTCGTTTTCTTCGAAATCGCAGGTAGTTTACCGTAAAACGAATTAAAACGTGTTTAAATTGAAACAACGATAAAGAAAGAACAAGAGAATGAAAATTTTTTCCTCCCAGAAATTCGTTTTCTTCGAAATCGCAGGTAGTTTACCGCAAAACGTGTTTAAATTGAAACAACGATAAAGAAAGAACAAGAGAATGAAAATTTTTTCCTCCCAGAAATTCGTTTTCTTCGAAATCGCAAATAGTTTACCGTAAAACAAATTAAAACCCGTTTAAATTGAAACAACGATAAAGAAAAAGACAAGGGAATGAAAATTGCATTCTAAAAGACATTAACGGAATTCATCTATCGAGCAGCAAGGGAAAATCGAGAAAGAAAAACGAGAATTGTTTCGTTGATCGAGCGAGTCACGGTTAGCTTTGATCGATCGCCTATTTTTTTCCATCAGACTTCAAATGTTTGGCGATTTTTCAATTATTCCGTATGCCAACAAAGCGAGAAAATGAAAGAATATTGATTCTTTCCCATTTTAAAGTTTCTTATCCGCGATCTGTGAACACGTGCTTTTTTCTTGGATTTTAACACCGGCACGCGGACGATGGATTTTTGAGAAGAACTCGTTTTTCCAGCCGGTTCACGAACGTGAGATGATTAGCAAACTTTTGTTGAGCTTTTGGATACTCGGATGCATCAACCTTTATGGTATGTTTTTTGTTTTTAATATTTTTATTACTTTTTCGCCGGTGTGATTGAATAATTTTTAGATTAAATTTAAACCGTTCCTTCAATTAAAAATCATTATATTTTCTCGACATTATTAATAGTTTGATTTTATTATCGTGCATCATAATTTTGAAAGAAGATTAGTGATTAATCATTGACTAATGTGCGAAATTAAGACGGAATATTTAATTTCTCTAAAATATTATATTGCATTAAAAAAACAACGAGAGCGTATTATTTATTTATATCATTGGAAATTCTTTTATTGATAATATTTATCTTATTTTAATCATTCTGAAATATTTATAAAAATAAGAACACCGAATAAAAATTGTCCAATTAACAGCGATTCGCATTTATTTTTTTATTATTTATTCTATATTAGCAGTCACGATATCTTTTTATTCTTCTAGTATATACTTCGTAAATTCCGTTCTATGAACCGTTAACGAATCGGGGACAATTATTTAATCATGTAATCGGACGTTCAGGTCACCGATGGCGACGTCTTAAATTTTAAGCGTGTTTCTTAACCGATATCTGTCCATTACCGATGTCTGTTTTCACTCGCGTCGTTGGGCAAGGCCCAAGAAACTTTTTCCACGAGTCTTACTGTGCTCGTAAACCGCATCTATTAATTTGCTTTAGACTTAAATAGTGCTCGAAGATTGCAGCACACGACAGAAATACTAACGAATTAAATATTTTTGTCGTCAGAAAAAAAATCATCTCATTTTTCATCAAAAAATTCTTGCAATTTCGTGAAATTTCTGATAGTTGTAATTTCCAATATCAAGACACAAAAGCAATGATTCGTGTTCACTCGGTGAATACGAAGATGAAAACCTTAGCGACAAGTTTAAGAACCAGATTAGATAAATAGAACCAGATTATCGCGACTTTTAATCAAATTACTCCAGCGTCAGTGAAAGCAACTCTGTCACGGCACTAATATTATATGCACCATGTCGTAGTGATTTCATATAAGTTGTCTCGACTGGCGCACGAAATTCGCGGACAATTTCCCCGCCAGTTTCGGCCATTCACGAGCGTTCACCACGTGAAAACACGCGATGCTCGTTTGCGAAAGTGGTGTCCACGATGGTATTCCGCAAAAATTTTGCCATAGAACCAGATATGCTTTTCCACTAATTGTAAGCAAACAAAGAAAAGGAAAGCAGTTAAAATATCTGATGTCGTAACACTAAAGCGTACCGTTAAAAAAAGACGAAATTGCAGGAACTTTTTATTCGCGTAATCATTTGTCTAATACATGGTCGCGAGAAACGTTATGTATCTATATACATAATTTTTTTATCGCACTCATGGCCATGAAACTGGATCCAGTTACTTTCCTTGTCTCTAACAGAGTAATCTTAGCTAACTCTATGATTTGAATCTATAAAAAAAAGCTCGATAAATGGTAAATTTGAAGTTATTCGCTTGATCGAGGAAGAATTTTCAGAACGACGGAATTCTCGCGCCTTCGTAAGAGGCTCACTTCCTTCGTTAATTGCTTTCTTTTATAATTAATTCGACGCGTTTTCACGCAAAGTTCACTCTACATATCAAAACAATGGAAATGATCCGAACGAGTATCAGTCCGTTAACGCTTCCTTTTTCAATAACAGCCTACTTTCAAAGTGGCATGTACAATGGCAGTTGTTTTTCATGCGTGTTTCGGACACGAGACTACAGAACTTCGTTCTTTATTTTCGACGATTCACGCGTGCCGTCGTTTCAAATCGTTTCCACAGTGTGTCGTGTCTAATTTGCCTAACACACGTCAGCGGCTTTTGACACGAATCAGGTTTGCCAAACGATCCCGTGCCGGATTTGACCTTTTCTCGCCTAGAATTTTGCCTCTCCTCTGCTGCGTACGTCATTTCTCTCGACGAAAGAGGATCGCACGTGTCAAACTAGTCATCCGCTCGGAATCGGTTCGTAAAAC